AGATTGCAGATCTATCTCACCTTGCTTTTTGGCTAAGTAAATTTGAAATCAAGACTTAATGCCACTAAATATCTGATAAATTAGAATAAAAATATCAAGACAGAAAATAGGTGACTCAAATTTCTGGCACGGTGGAAAGTATCCATAGATTCAAGAGAAAAGGGATCCCTGGGTGGCACAGCAGTTTGGCACCTGCCTTTAGCCCAGGGTGCGATCCTGGGGCCCCCGGATCGAATCCCACGTCGGGCTTCTGGTGCATGGAGCCTGCTTCTCCCTCTGCCTGTGTCTCTGCCTCTCTCTCTCTCTCTCTCTCTCTCTCTCTCTGTGACTATCATAAATAAATAAAAAATAAAAAAAAAAGAAAGCTTTAAAAGAAAAAAGATTCAAGAGAAAAACAGATTTTTAGAGAGAAGATGATAGATAGGAAGGAAAAAGAAGTCAGTATAAGCATAATTGTTTCCCTATTATTTATTCAAAAATATTTGTTGAGCATTATGTTTCTTGAGACTTAAAAGAACCTCTGTATATATACTTAAGTAAAATTTTGTTTCCTTACTCTTAATGATTATATTTATAACATAATTTATTTCTGCTCTTTTTTAGTAGTGTTTTAGATAATTGATACCCCGATGTTAGAGGATTTCTTTTCCTTTTGTGCCTGCGATTCTTGGTTACATAGATTTGAAGAATGAAGAGGTAGACCAGATGAAGAGTGATGGGCAGCAAAGCAAAGTTTATTGAGCTATCAATAGTATAAAGCTCCTGAGGAGGGAGGGGACCAGAGGGCATTGCTACCTGAGTTTCTAAATCTAGGGGGCTTTATGGGCTTGTTGGCCTGCTGTCTTAATCTGATTAACCTTCCCTGCGCTTGTCACCCAATCAGGTTTTTGTCATCTGCCTATCCTGTGGGAAAGGGTGGAGGGCTCCTTCCAGGGTGGGGTAAAACCCTTTTAAGGGTGGTTTCCTCTAAGGGCAGGACCCCTTGTCCCTGCCTGCCTTCCTTCCAACCATCCTTTGTTACTAATACCTATTTTATCATCATTATTATGGAAAAAAATGTTGAGTTCCAAACAATTTATTTGTGAACACACAAATACACTGGGAATTTCCAGAAGGGTATTCTAATAAAGGTAAAGGATTTGGAAATATTTATTTCATGCACTTATTCATTTATTCCTCTTTAAGTTCCTCTGTAAGGAGGAGAAAGATTTTGCAGATTTTTTTCATTGCTGTATGTCCCTGGTCCATAAGTAGTATTTGGCATACGGTAAGTTCTCTGTAAATGTCAAATTTACCAATTCATTCATTCAGCAAGCACTTATTGATCACCATAGGTATTCTGCTAGATGCTGGAGAAGCAAAGATGAGTAAGTCATTGTTCTTGTGTTAAGGGAGCTGTAGGTATGCTGGAAGAAACACATATACTGTAGTGATAAAAATATGTTGATATAAGCATATAAAGGAGAAAAATTTATATGGTGGGCACTGGGGCCAGATGAATCTTTTTTCAAAGATTTAATTTATTCATTCATGAGAGACACAAAGAGAGAAAGGCAGAGACATAGGCAGAGGAAGAAGCAGGCTCCCTCCAGGACCCTGGGATTATGACCTGAGCCAAAGACAGATGCTCAACCACTGAGCCACCCAGGGCTACGTGAATTGTATAGGGAAATAGATGTAAAGAAAAGGGTGTAATAATGTAATTAATAATCCTCTCTTTTGGAAAAGCAAATGACTCTTGACCTTGAGGTTATGAGTTTGAGTGCCACGTTGGGTATAAAGATTGCTAAAAACAAGAAACCTTAAGAAATATATATGAAAAGAAAGGACATAGCTGGAAGAGAAATAGTGGCTTATGATTCTGGAATCTGTCCCATTCAGATTGCTCAAACCTGACAAGATGAATTTGAAACTATATTTTTCTGATGGTTGAATATTTGACTACAGTGGTACCTGGTAAAGATGCACTGATGAATCAGTTTCTTTGTTTTAATCAGCTGCCTATAGGGCCACTCTTCTCTAAATATCCATTATTTTCAACTCCTATCAAAATTTTTAAAAAAATATTCTAAAGTAAGATCTTCAGAAGATCATAGATTTATGTGTGGATTTCCTTTTTTAAAGATTTTATTTATTTATTCATGAGAGACACAGAGAGGCAGAGACACAGGCAGAGTGAGAAGCAGGCTTCATGCAGGGACCCTGATGATCCCAGGACTCCAGGATCACACCCTGAGCTGAAGGCAGGTGCAAAACCGCTGAGCCACCCGGGCTGCCCTATGTGGATTTCCATGTCACTCAGGTGATTTCATGTCCTGATGCCATATACCTCAAGCGACTGAAAGTATAGATTCAAGCTTAACAACGTTTTTTTTTCTCTGATTAGTATGGCTTGAAGGGGAGCAGAATATGTGACCCTCAAGTATGCCACTTTGAGCAAAATATGCTATTTTGAGCTGAAGACAATTAAGACACAGCAGACTCAAGAAAAGCTTTATCTCTCTCTTAACTACCCAAAAGAATTTAGATAGGAGGTCTGGCTCAGAAAAAGAATTATACCCAGAGATATCTTTTATCTGAATGACCTAGCTGTATGGCAGGACAAACATCTAATTACCAAACATCTGCTCTTCTTATCATCCTCTGAATCACCCTCCTCCCATTTGAAGCCCCAGGCTCCTATCCCATTTCTTAGCTTAGGATGGCATATAAACCTCAATTGTCTGACTTGTCCTTGGGTCTCTTGTGCTTATGGGGCTCCCATAGGTATATGTAGTTAGGGTTTCTCTTGTTTCTCTGTTTTATATCAATTTTCCATCAAGAATCTAGAAGGGTAAAGGAAAATTTTTCCTCCTCAACAGAATTAAAAAAAAAATTAAATCTATTTTCGGGTTAAAATGTAACATGCACATGCTCCCCTAGTTAGCATGTGGATAACCAAAGACTTAAAGTCAGCTATACGAAAAAGTTACAGGGGAAATAAAAGATTCCAATTGACTTTAATTATCTGAATCAAATGGGATGACATTTCTGACCACTCTAGAGTAATTCTCAAAAGCATAAACTCATCCATTTATTCTGAATGCGTTTACTTCTACCTGCTTGCAGCTGGATACTGGGGGTACAAAGAGAAGTGAGGCCCAGAGCCTGCCCTGAAAAGATGCACTGTTTGGTGAGGAGTGATGGGCTCAAAACAACTGAACATACCTACGGTGCCAGAGGAGAGAGTCAGGAGACTCTCTGAGCACTGGCCTGATCAGAGGAGTCAGAGAATGCCTGTCAAGGAGCTGATTTTGGAATTATTTGAAGGATTGATTTCTTCACCCCGTGAGGAGAGGTGGATTGCAGGGAGAGGGCTAAGAGCCTATGGAAAGATGCAAAAGTGGTAGGCTTGTCTGGAGAACTGCTGCTGGTAGCAAGGGCATGTATTCATTCAAACCAACAAGTATTCAATGGTCGAGAAACCAGAAGACTCCGATCAAGGGCTAATGCAGAGTTAGGCAGGGTCAACATGTTGAGCGTGAGGGAATTGGCAGAGGTGGAGAGGGGAAGGAGTTTAGGAAAACTGTTAGGATGAAATTGTAGCAGTAGCTTCTATCTTACCGCATGCCAGGCCCAGTGTAAAGGGTTTTATATATAAGCACATTTCAATGCATATTATCATCTCTTGAACAAAAGGGTAAACAGACTCAGAATAAGTAACATATCCCCGGTCCTGGAAGTTAGCAAGTGGAGGACCAGGCTTGCTTATCCAAATCACGTGCCCTTGGCTTAACCACTAGACTATTACTGTCCCCCCCAGTTGTAGACAGAACTATCCATTTTAGGTGATGACTGAAATCCTAGGCTTGGTAGACATTTTCCAGGTGGGGATTGGCACTGGGAAGGAACCCTGGGAATAATAATGCAAATGGGTAAGTTTGTGAAAACACAGTGATAATTCTATTTGCAGACTTACTTTATTGTCAGATTATTTTTGGCGCCATTTACTAAATAAAGGGTTGACTTTCCCCGGGCGTGGCCGGGTTGAGTCGTCTGGACATCTGTAACCCACATCAAAACCAGGACGAAGCAAGAAGCAATTGGAGTTTTCTGGCACTCTTGCCTCCACAATCTGGGATCTAGGGCACTGTCCTAAGATGGTCCTCATCTTTGGTTCTAAGGATTTTTTTTTTTTTCATGTACCAAATGCGATTTTATCATTTTATTTTTTTTGGTGTCAGAATGTGTCTGGCCACGCAGCCGATCTTGGCGAGCAGGTGCTCACGGGTGCATCAGGAGTGTCTGCAGGGCGCGACGGCGGCCCTCGCCCCCTCCCCTGCTCCCCCGCCCGCCGCCTCCCCGCGTCTGGAAAGGTGCAGGCTCCGCGGAACCGGGCCTCGCACAGCGGCGGCCGCAGCCGGCGCGGGATGGTCGCGGGCCCCCGCGGAGCCGAGGCGGCAGCCCGAGAGCCCGGGGAAGGTAGGCGCGGGGAGTCCGCGCGCGGAGCGGCGTCCGGGGAGAGCGGAGGGTCAGCCGCGCGCAGGGGTGGAGGGCGCAGCCGGCGGCGGGGAGCCAGGCCGGGCCGCGGAGGCCGCGGGCGGGGCGCGCTCCCCGGCACCACCCCCGCCCCCGCCCCCGCCGCCCCCGCCCGGCTCGTCCGCGCTCCCTCGGCCTCGGCCTCGGCCTCGGCCAAGCGCCCGGGCCCCGGGGCCCGCTGTGCCGGCGCCCGCACCGCGGCGGCCGCTGCTGGGGGGGCGGGGGGGGGGGGCCGGTCGGCCGCCAGGGGGCGGGAGCGGCGCCGCGAACAATGGCCGCGCTCGGCCGCGGGCGGGAGGAGGTGCGGGTCCGCGGGGCCCGGGCGCGCGCGCGCAGGGCTGGCTGGGGCGCGGGAGCGGCGGCGCAGGCGGGGGCGCGCGGCGCGGGCCCGGGAGGGCGCGGCGGGAGCGCAGGGGAGGCGGGCGGCGGGCGGGCGGCGGGCGGAGGCGGGGGGCGGGGAGCCCGCGGGGTGGAAGCCGGCGGCGGCGGCGGCGGCGGCGGCGGCGGCGGCGGCGGCGGCCGAGCGGGGTCAGTTCTCCGCGGTGCTTGCCAATGTGGGAGCCGCCTGCAAAGCGTCCGCGGCCAGAAGGTAAATACGGTGGTTGGGGGCGCCCGGAGGCCTGGACTTCCGCCCCGCCGGCGGAGGGGGAGGAGGCAGAGGGCGCTGGGGAGCCCCGCGGGGCCGCTGCGCGCGGCGAACCCCGAGAAGAGCGGCCCCGCGGCGGCCTCGCCTCCCCTCCCCTCCCCCGCGGCTCCCTCCTGGAGGAGGGGGAGGGGACCGCACGGTGCGGGTGCTGGGGGCTCGGGGCCCGCGGATGATGGGGGCGTGCGTGGGGGGGCGGGTGGGCCGGCACAGGTGTCGGGACGGGAGGGGCGGGGAGCCGGGGGGCGGGCGTCGGGGGCGCCCGGGGCGGGGGCGCGGCGGCGGGAGGGAGCCCGCGGGCGGGTCGGTGCGCAGGGAGGCGGTGGAGCGCGGCCGGGAGGGGCTGCGGGCAGGCCCCGGGGGCGCGGGGCGCGGGGGGCGGCGCTCGCGGCTATTTCTGTATAATGGGCAAGTGGCGGAGACGTGAGGCGGCGGACTGGGGAGGTAGGTGGGGCCGAGGGGACCCAGTGTGTCCTGTGACGGGCCCGCCCTGCCGTGCCTCGTGGGGACTGCGGCGGCGGCGGCTCGGCCTCCGGGTAGCGGGCGCTCCGTGACCTTGCCGAGGCGGAGGGAGCGGGGCGGACGGAGACAAAGCTCGGGGCCGGCGGCGGCGGAGGCGGCGAGGGGAGCGTTCCGCGGCGCGGGCGCCGGCCCGCGGGGCTGGGAGTCCTCGGGCGGGGGCGGGGGGCGGGGGCGGGGCTGAGGGCCTCGGGCTTCTGGAAGTCCCTGGAGAGACGTGCGGAATGGGGCGTTTGTGAGGGATTTTCTTGGGAAGGGGACCGTACTCGGCGTGGCCCCCCCGCCCCCCCCCGTGGTGATGTAGAGATGGGTCTTTCAATTAAGGGAACGTACCCCAGGGTTTTAAGGTGCGTGGTTCCTGCAGGGAGGGTAGAGAGAGAGGATCCTTTAAGGTACATGACTGACCGCAAACCCTTGCTGAAAAACCCTTGCTTTTAATGTCTGATTTCACGATTTCAGTGAACTTTTGCTGAGCATCGCTTCCCGCTTCCCTTCTGATGCATCCTTACGTTTTAAGAAATCGTGGTTAAAAACACTTGGATTCAGAATTGGGATGGGAAGGCAGGATGGTAGTAACCTTGTAAGGAGAGAAGATCGCAACATTCCTCCGGGAGGGTGTTTCTTCCCTAGTCCTTTCTCAAGAGGGTTCGAATACACTGTTAGGAATTGAGCTGCAGTGGAAAAACAGCAACTCTTTGTCAATAAAACAGTCAAGACCAAGACATCCTGCATCTCAGTTGTTTTGTAATATGGCAAGTGTGTGATTTTTCAGCTTGTCTATATTTTACTGCAAACCAGAGCTCTCACATGTCACTTGAATTGTGGATTTGCTGCATTTTGCAGCAGGCCTGTATTAAATTTGTGAGGCATTTATGCCAAACTATGTGGTGTGGATGCTGTTTTTTTTTTTTTTTTCCTACTGTGATTTCAACTCCACTCACTATTGCCTCATTTCATTACATAGCAACGTAGTTTGAAATTTATTCCTAAGCGATAATTGGTAGGATATAGTGCATATTTCCTGACAAATCACTGAATTTTTCCTCCAAAATCTGCTTTGTATTTGTGAAAATGTTGCTGTGTAATCAGAGTATGTATTGTTAACTGCAGGTAGAATGGCATCTCGTTTTTAAGTTTTGACTTTTTATTTGGAAATAATCTCAAGCTTACCAAAAGGTAGCAAGAGTAAGAACACTACAAAGAATACTTCTGTGACCTTTACTCAGATTTTACCCACTTAACCATTAATGTCTCTCAGCCATATGTACGTAATATTTTTTTCCCTGGACCATTTGAGGGTAAGTTGCATCATGACTCTCTATTCCTAATTACCATGGAAAATCATATACATTTTATATTTTAGCTTACTTGGCTTGTCTGGAATGAAGTTCTAGGAGAAGAGTGGGTTGGTTTGCTTTTCAGAAATAAAAGAATATAAAAAGTATCTGAGATGATATCTGACTTTTTAGTGTGTAAACAATACTGAAAGTGAGGCTGAGTGGTTTTCTTGTTTTGGGATCAGATTCTGAAAGGTATAATTGGCCAGAATGTTGGGGTTTTTTCTTTGCAGCTAACCTCTTTACTATCACGCTCTTCTTTTGTTCACTTTGAGTTCTGGGTGTCATCATTTATGTGTACAGATCATAATAGAAGAACCTAGATATCGCAAAATTGAATCGTGTTAATATTAGAATAGTTGGAGACATGCACAGTGAGATCAAACTACGTGTAGATATATTTGTGCCTCCTTTAGGCACTCAAGAAAATATTAGTTGAGTGTCTAGAACCCATAATTATTATAATTTATATTTATGTATGTATAATAATTTGATTTTAAGTAAATCTCCAAAGTTCTCTATAAGGAGCCTTACCATTATGTTGTTCTAGAGGTCAAGACCTTTGTGACAGGAAAAATTTTAAGAAGTGAAATCTTTATAAATTTAATGTATAATAAAGAGATGAGGACTTCACGCCAGAACACACTTGGTTTTAATCCCAGCAGTGTAGACTATGGGATGTAATTCAACTTCTAGAAAAGTGGAGATAACACCTACATCCCAAGGTAATGAGGACTAAATGAATTAACATAACAATGGCAAAATATAGCATGTGGTATATAACATTAGTGTCTGATAAATGTTGTTTTCTTTTTTCTTGGTTTGTGGTGAGATTTCTGTATACTTAGAATCTTTCATAGGCTCTTTGGAAATAATTAAATTTATGCCAAATTATTTTGCTTTTCTTACATAAAAGTTTTTTTGGGTACCTACTTTTAAAAAGAAATGAGAATTTAAAAAACCCGGTTTTTAAATGCTTTTTAAGGAACCCATGAATAAAAAAAATTTTTATTAAAAAAAACTTTTTTTTAAAGAGATTTTATATATTTCTTCATGAGAGAGAGAAAGAGAGAGAGAGAGAGAGGCAGAGACATAGGCAGAGGGGAGAGGCAGGCTCCACGCAGGAAGCCTGATGTGGGACTCAATCCCAGGACTTTGGGATCATGCCCTGAGGCAAAGGCAGATGCTCAACCACTGAGCCACACAGGCGTCCCACCCATGAATTTTTTAGAGTAAGAAGTTTTGGTTGATGTTTAGTTTTATGGTACTTTGGAGCCTAAGAATGGTGGTAGTAAATGTTTTTTCTTTTCATATTGTCAAACAAGATAGTTAGGTGAGGATTACCTGTCAATTGTGGGATGATGGGTGCTGATATAAAAATTTATAGATTAGTTTAATAATGCCATTTTAAGAGGCGGTATTAAATTGTTGAGGATTTTGTAGATTTTGTTTTTTTACAGCTTTCAACTGATTAGCTGGGCAAAATGTAATAATAAATGCAGCTAGTTATACCAGCAGTAGATTTCAGATACATGTTGGACTTCCAATTCTTCATAAGCAGCAAGTTTTCTACAGTTAGTAGTATCCTCTCTCCATAAACTGCCCTGCCTGTTTTCATTTAGTAGCTTGGAATCTGGAACTGCATGTCCTAATGTGCCTGATTGGATGTCACTGTAGGGCATTTTTGGGACATGTGAATAGGTTTCTCTAAAAGTACTTAGCTGTAATCGGAATGAACTGTAGCTGGAAACTTTGGCAGAGGAGAGAGAGGTGGATTTTATGAAATCACAGGCAGCATAAAACTGCTCTGCATTTCATTGATGTTTTATCAAGTTGTTTTATTTTTTTTATTTATTTATTTTTTTAATTTTTATTTATTTATGATAGTCACAGAGAGAGAGAGAGAGAGAGGGGGGCAGAGACATAGGCAGAGGGAGAAGCAGGCTCCATGCACCGGGAGCCTGACGTGGGATTCGATCCCGGGTCTCCAGGATCGCGCCCTGGGCCAAAGGCAGGCGCCAAACCGCTGCGCCACCCAGGGATCCCTATCAAGTTGTTTTAAATACAGGACAGTAGAGTAGGCATATCTGTAAAGGAGAAGTGAAGTGTTAAAGACGTGGCACTGTGGGCATTCTGAATTGTCCATAGTGTGGTTGTGAATTATAATTTTTATATTGATGGAAATATGATATAATTTGTTGGTTAAAAAAAGAACAACTTCAGGGTATTTTCCAGTTCCCTCACAGAGTGCTATCATAGGCATAGTTTCATGTTTTAATTTGTACAGATCTTTGTAGTTGTGAAGGAGTGGCTTACAGAATAGTTAAAATTGTATGTTTTAAGCAAATAGGTGCTTTTATTTTTGTTTCTTCCTATAACTACCTTTTTGTATGTCAGAAGATTAGAACTTTAAAAAAATGTATCCTTATACTTTATTGTGTCTACTTCTTGGAATCAGCCACTAGTGTTATAAACTCTAATATTGAAAAGCACCCCTATATTTATTGCAGTATTATTTATAATAGCCAAATTATGGAAGCAATGTAAGTGTCCCATCAGTAGATGAATGGATAAAGAAGATGTGGTATATATATGTACAACGGAATATTCAGCCATGAGTGAAATCTTGCCATTTGCAACAACATGGATGGATCTAGAGACTACAATGCTAAGTGAGATAAGCCAATCAGAGAAACAAATGCTGTATGATTTCACTCAATGTGGAATTTAAGAAACAGAACAAATGAACAAAGGAAGAAAAAAAAAGACAACCCCCCAAAAACACTCTTAACTGTAGGAAGCGAATGGGGGTATGGGTGAAATAGGTGAAGAGGATTAAGAGTACACCTACCATGGGCACTGAGTAATATATAGAATTGCCAAACCACTATAGTATACATCTGAAACTAATATAATACTGTATGTTAGTTACATTGGAATTAAAAAAAAAAAACCCTCAAAACTCTGATATTGAAGAAACACATACAGGTCTATATAGATAAGCACTTGTTACTCTTAGAGGCTTACATTAAATAAAAACAAAATTGGGTTTCTCAGATTTGGCAAGTGCTTACTAAATGATGTTGAATTCTAGAAGGTAAGGGACACTAAGTCACTGAGATGCTTTTATTTATTTATTTTTAATTTTTTAAATTTTTATTTATTTATGATAGTCACAGAGAGAGAGAGAGAGAGAGAGGCAGAGACACAGGCAGAAGGAGAAGCAGGCTCCATGCACCGGGAGCCCGACGTGGGATTCGATCCCGGGTCTCCAGGATCGCGCCCTGGGCCAAAGGCAGGCGCCAAACCGCTGCGCCACCCAGGGATCCCACTGAGATGCTTTTAGTGGTTTACTCACATTTTATTTTATTTTTTTTTTAAATTTTTTTTTTTAAATTTTTTTTTTTATTTATTTATGATAGTCACAGAGAGAGAGAGAGAGAGAGGCAGAGACACAGGCAGAGGGAGAAGCAGGCTCCATGCAGGGAGCCCGATGTGGGATTCGATCCCGGGTCTCCAGGATCGTGCCCTGGGCCAAAGGCAGGCGCCAAACCGCTGCGCCACCCAGGGATCCCGGTTTACTCACATTTTAATTTCCAAATGAATTGTTTTCAGTTAAATGAAAATTGATCTGGTCTGTATTTTTAGTTGTATCTAGTGTATTTTTTTTCATCTAGTGTATTTTAATACCATTTGCCTACTCCTGTGCTTTTTAGTGATTTCATATTTTGAATAAAATGTAAATGTGTAAGTTTCATAATTTATCATTTTCATGTTGTAATGTAACTCATTTGCTCAAGTTAAACAGAGAATTTTTTGACCTACCTAGATATGTTAATACCTAAAACACCACAGGATTTTTTTTTAAATCTTTTTTTTTTTTTTTTTTTTTAAAGATTTTATTTATTCGTGAGAGACAGAGAGAGAGAGAGGCAGAATCACAGGCAGAGGGAGAAGCAGGCTCCATGCAGGGAGCCTGATGTGGGACTCCATCCCGGGACTCCAGGATCATGCCCTGGGCTGAAGGCAGATGCTAAACTGCTGAGCCACCCAGGGATCCCAACACCACAGGATTATAGAATTTTAGAGTTGAATGGATTGTCTTATTATTGTTACATAACAAACTACCCTGGAAAGTAAAGGGCTTAAAACAACAAACATTAATTATCTTAGTTTCTATGGGTTAGAAAACTGGGTGCAGCTTACCTTGTATTTGTGGCTCAAGGTCTTTTAGATGTTGCAGGTAAGCTATCATTGGGACTGTGTTCTCATCTGAGAGTTTGACCAGGGGAAGATCTGCTTCCAAGCTCATTCATATAGCTCATTCATATAGCTCTTGGAAGGATTCATTTGCTTGGGGGGGTATAGGCCTGAAGGCCTCACTTTCTTTTGGGCTATTGGCCAAAGGCCTTTCTTAGTTCTTTGCCAACTGGGCCTGTCCAAGGGGTAGCTCATAATATGGCAGCTAGTTTCCTTCAGAGCAAACAGTGAGAGAATGAGACCAGGTAACACCCAAGATGGTCATTGTGGTCTTTTTGTAACCCAATGTTCTGAGTGGTGTCTCATTATTTCTGTTGTATTCTATTTGTTATTTGCCTACCACAATTACTTTAGTTTACTTTTTACAGATTTAAAAAAAAAATAAAAAGAACACAAAGATACACAAAGTAATTTTCCAAGGCTCAAGAGGTAAAATCTCCTGAAGAGCTTGGAGTAAAATTCAAATTATGTGATCCTTAGCCATTGTGCCGTTTCTATAGCATATGATTCTCTTGGAAAAAATGAAAACTGTTAAAGATCCTGAGGCCGCTATTCTAAGATATATAGATACAGAAAACTTTCAAATTCATTTAGAATTGACCCCAATTTGTCATCTTAAGAAAATGGTAGCCATATATGTATATATGTGAATCTATGTGTGTGTGTGTATAAAACTTTTGCGTATGAGGGAAAGTTTAATATTAAAGTTTCATAGCATAAAGTTTTCTACCTAAGTGATTGGATTTAACTCTTTTGCTGCCTGTATTGTTGCTTTTTAGATAATTTTGGGGAGGGTCTGTACAGAATTTTTTTTTTTTTTTTGTAGGCTCTACGCTGGGTGTGGGGCTTGAACACAGAACCCTTAGATTAAGAGTTGCACGCTCTACTGGCTAGCCAGCCAGGCTCCTCCATAGATTATTTATTTGCTTTTAAAAATATTTTATTCCGGGATCCCTGGGTGGCGCAGCGGTTTGGCGCCTGCCTTTGGCCCAGGGCGCGATCCTGGAGACCCAGGATCGAATCCCACATCGGGCTCCCGGTGCATGGAGCCTGCTTCTCCCTCTGCCTGTGTCTCTGCGCCTCTCTCTCTCTCTCTCTCTCTCTCTCTCTCTGTGACTATCATAAATAAAAATTAAAAAAAATATTTTATTCCTTTATTTGAGAAAGAGAAAGCAAGAGAGAGAGAGAGAGAGAGAGAGAGAGAGAGAGAGAGAGAGAGAGAGAGAGCACGAGAAGAGGGAGGGGTAAGGGGAGAGGGAGAAGTAGGCTCCCTATTGAGCAGGGAACTGGACATGGGGCTCCATCCCGGGACCCTGAGATCATGACCTGAGCCGAAGGCAGACATTTAACCAACTGAGCCACCCAGGTGCTCCTGCCATAATTTATTTTTTATGTAAACTTTTACCATTATAGGAATCCATGATTTATTTGTTTATAAGATTTGGGGGTTTTGCTCTTCTTTAGTATCTATTTTTAAATTAAATGTAGAAGAGATTTGCCACATGAAAAGAAATATAACCATGGTGAGGAGGTGAGACCCAGAAGGTAACAAATCCAAATCTAACAATGAGATGTGTCAGATGGTGATTTCTTTCTCTGAAAATTTTATGTGGAATTTTATTATGCAAGCTGTTTTTATAGTGATGATAAAACCACAAACAAAAAAAAATCCAGCTAAGTACTGTATACTCTTCCATACCATGTAGAAGAGTATGTGTTGCATTGTTTTTAGCCTTAATTTAGCTTATAGAGTTTAGGAATGAGGCTGTTTAAAACGTTACTAGAGAAAAGGGAGTATACATTAAATATTAATCTGAATTTTTTAGATTATTTTTAATAGCTTCATTTTTGCTGGAATTATCTTAGAATTGTAGAGCCAGAAGGGACATCTTTCATCCTAGATCTACATTGTCCACTATGATAGCTGTTAGTTATATTTAGTTATTTAAATTTAGATTAACATTAAAGAAGATTTAAAAAAATTAAAAATTTACTTTCTTGGTGCATTAGTCACATTTCAGGTGCTCAGTAGCCCATTGTGGCCATTGGCTATTGGATTAGGCCGTGCAGATATAAAACCTGTTTATCATCATAGAAAGTTCTGTGTTGATCTAGATCTACTCCATTTTATTTTTGATCAAGGACATATGTTTAAAGTGCTAATCATTGAGATTACCAACTAAGATGAACTTTATATCTTCATTTTCATTTTTCAGTTTTTGGAGCCCTGAGGGATACAGCAGTTTGGTCAATATTGTTTTAACATGCTTCAAATAAATCAGGTGAGTTTGTGTTAAGGCATGTCCTACTTATTAATATGGTGCTTCGGCCATAAATTGTGGAACGTTTTAACCCAGCTTTTCTATAACCATGACCTGACCACTGCTTTACAGAGCAATTACGTACTATATAGTCATCATAGGAGACTGTGCAGGGCAGATTGTTTAAGGATTATAGTGATAGTTGTGAAAGTTGTTAACTTTTGAGTGTGCAGAGCAGAAGATGCGTCTGTTCTGTTTGATGTTACATCTCTCCAGGATTTGGTCTGTTCAGAATGCTTACAGTTGTGATCTAGCTTCAGTAGGTAGCAGTTTTACAGACGGAAAGCATTTCTAGTGACAAATCTTGTGACGTAGTTTTATCAGTGTGTTAAAAAAAGTTCCTTTTCTAGGGCACTGGAAAAGGCTAGAAGGAGGTGCCTTGCTAAATAAACTTTAGCATATAATGTTTTAGATTTCTGAAAGAAATATTTTTCTTAGGTCTTGGCATTTCTCCAAGAACTTTATACATTTAATCTTATCCTTTCTGAACAAATAGGGCATTGTATTATAATATTAGAAAATTCTTTGTTTTATTTCAGACTTGTAAATTAAGAGAGAAGTAATTAATTTGATTGCAAGAAGTAATGAGTTTTTCATGTGCATGATTTGAGGAAGTAATAACACACCTGCCCCTGCCTGTCCAGTCCACCTTGCCTAAGTAATAGCCTCTAGTTCCCATGCATCACGTACCATCTCTAAGCCTATGACTTCTAAGTTCATACTTAGTCTAGATCTCTTTCCTGAGCTCTAGACCTGTGTAGCAGTTGCCAACCTGATCTCTTAACTTGGGTGTCTTTATACATCTCAGAATTAACGTGGACCCAGGAAACAATCTAAATGCTTTCAATCTAAATGTTTCAGTTCCTGGATTGGGCAAGGTCATTCCAGCTGCAGGGGCTTTGCATAGATTATCTCTGCCTGGGCCTTTCTTTCCCTCCCCTGTGGTTGACTCACTTGACTCCCCAGCCTAGTATTTGCTCTCAGAGTACCTTGCCCTTTTATTTAATGAAATCCTGACATTTGCAGTTATATTCAAATATGTAATTGTTTGCCTAACATTTCTGTTCCTTGTTAGGCCATATGGTCTATGAAAGTAGTGACTTGGCTTGTTTATTCTTATTTCCTCAGATCCTAGAATAGTTTTGCTTATGGTTTTCATATATTTGCTGAATAAGTGGATGGTTGGTGCTAGGGTTGTCACTAAAGCAAGGAGATCTCCATTCTTTTCCACAGTAATCACCTAATTGTGTTGTCAGTTTAGGTATGTGCTTGCTTTACACAAATGCCATTAACATAAAATCTCTTTCTCATGCAAAGTTATTCCTTGATTTTCTCCTTGTACTAGAAAATTTTCTTGTGCAATGAATATTGCTTTCATCAAAGATGTTACTAATGTAGGTTTAAAAGAATCATAAAGCTGTACCGTGTTTAGTGCTTTTTGTACTTTCACAGTTGCTGTCAAATCCTATTGGATGTATTGATGGAGCTTTATGAGACATGACTTGCAAACTATGTTGTAGGTTGGTGTTGATGCTAAATGTATGGATACCTGCTGTTAATTATACAGGTACAATCAGAATAGTTTTTTTTTTTATAATCTGCCATAGACAAGTGGAAAGAACTCCTTTCATGCCAGTCAACATCATTGAACATTATAGATTAGTTCAATGAAGATTTATTGTTATGTTGGATCTACTGGTCCTGTTGAATCAGGCCTTACACAGCAATTTCAGGCAACATTCTGCAGGGCCACAAGCAGTTTCCCTGTCCAAGAAAATTTTCTAGTACAAGGAGAAAATCAAGGAACAACTTTGCATAAGAAAGAGATTTTATGTTAATGGCATTTGTGTAAAGCAAGCACATAATACCTAAACTGACAACACAATTAGGTGATTACTGTTGAAAAGAATGGAGATCTCCTTGCTTCAGTGACAACCCTAGCACCAACCATTGTACACAGCGCTTGGAGATATATGTGCTTTGCTTGTAACACACATGCATGTCTAGACTCCCCTCAGGATTCTCTCTTGTTATTCCCTAAGTTTTATCCCCCTCACCCCAAAATGTTCAAGCCTGAAGAGAAAAATTAATCTAATTTGGAATAGAAGTTATAGAGAAGACTTTTTTTTCAGCCCAACTTAAAGTTGCCTTGAATTCTTAAACTTATGAGTGATTGATCTTTTACCATTTTCGTGGTGACTGCTTTCCCATCAGAGTGTAGGCTCTCAAGATAATGTGAAAAGACATGAAAAGGTGATTGAAGCTGACACTTACCTTGAAGCAGTTGAGGTTTTTACTGCATGATTTTCAACACTGTCTTTTGGATTAGTATTTGAGAGGTCTTTTTGTTTGTTGTCTTAAGATGCCTGAATAGTACTAACATTCTTCCATGTGTGTTCTTAGTACTACTTAAAAATAAGGCTATTGAAATATTTAACTTGGTGTTAATTCTGCATGACATTATTATTATTAGAGAACATGGGAATGTTCCATGTTCTATTATAGTGATGGCAGCTCTACCTTTAAATTCTACTCTGCATTTTTACTTTTGCCTTTTAAGAATGTGTGTTGTCCATGTGCAACTCATGTAGAAAAATTAGGTAGTAGAGATAAGCAAAAAGAAAAAAATCACAAATGATTCCATTATTCTTTTACAGAGATAATCACTGCTAACATTTTGGGGTGTATACTTCTAGATTTTTTTTTCTATGCAGGTATGTTTTTATGTTAATCTATGTTACTTTAAAAAACTTAGGATTATATAATATTCTGAAGTGACATTAATATTTTGTGTGGAATTACTAAAATTTGTTTAATCAAATCCTTATTGTTGTACAAATTTTGTATTATAGTTAGTGCCACAGTGTTTTTTTTTTTTTAACATATAATTATGTTCCTTTGTCCATTATTTTCTTACAGTTAATTATTAGGAGGAATTACTGGCCAAATGGGTATGCAAATTTTGAAGATATTTGATGCATAAACACCAAAAATACAAAATAATATCTATTAGAATGCCTGTTTTCTTTTTTGACAAATTTTCAATGTTTGCCAATTCAACAAAAAGTGATACTTTGATTTGCATTTCTATTATTTGCTTCTATTTGTTGTTCTTTTGTGTTTTGTCTTTTTGTGAATTGTTTATATGTGTCCACTGGTAACTTTTCCTTTTTATTTGTAAATAAAAGTTTTTGAATATACCCCCTTGAGAATTTTCTGAGCTAGCATTTATAATTATTACTTTATATATTTTCATTTGTTATTCAACAAATAATTAGTGAGAACCTATGTTTCCAGGGTACTGTACTAAGTAAGAGTTTGGTATATTTTGGATCTTTCTCCCTGGTGATTAATTATAAACCCTTAAGGAAAGGAAACCCATTTTAGCATTAAGCTGTAGCAAATCTAAATTAAGAAGGCACGTGTGCTGTGAAATCATATTTTTAAATGAGTGGCTGAAATAAGGCAAAGTTTTTTGGGATTAATTGATGAGGCAGATCTAAATAGCATATATTCTACAGAGTTTAAGGGGAAGTGTATATTAGGCAGCTGTAGCATTGGGGAGAGCCCAGCAGGAGGGTATTAACAAGTCTCAGTAGCCTGGTGGTTTCTTTGAAAGAGTTATGGTGGTAGGTGTTGGGAACGTGAGAGCTAAGAGAAATCTTTAAGACCTGACTCACATGGAATGAGAGGACAGGTAGGACAAAATGGCATTTTTGTGCCAGAAGAGTAGAAGAACCCTACAGGGCAAGGGGGAGCCAGGTGTTAGGTAGGAAAAATAAACGTGTATCAGGATATACTATGAAGTATAAAGCCAAGTTAGGATTATCAAGAAATTAAGGCTTAGCCTTTAGGGAATAATGATAACCTATCTCACAGGTTTATGGTGAGGAATAATTGAGCTAATAACAGAGGCAAAATGCCTCGCTTTGGCCCTGGTACTATTGCTAATGCAATTAATAATTGCTGTTGCTATTGCTGTCTGGCTTTAGAGATTGATGAGAAAGGAGGGCAGACGTTTACGTTAGTCATTAGAGTAGTTGTTTGGGGGAATGAAAAGCCACTTGAACATTTCTCAACTCCAGGTGTGCTGTAAATGCCCTCCTCCCTCTTGCCCTAGGCACCAAGGAAGGACTCTATTCTTTTAAAACTTGCTGCTACTTAGTTATTTTTTCTCTAAGTCTGGCTGTGGAGTAGAATCTACAATCTTGCCATCTTTCTCAAAGTCGTAGGATGCAGTTTATAGTCTGAGAATTAAAAAAAAAAAAAAACAACATAAGGAAGTTAAAATGTGTAAGCAGGACTTTGGCATTTTGCCATGTTGGGATAACAGGATTTTTCCTCTGTGTGGCCAGCTTCCAAGATGGCCCTAATGATCTCTGCTTCCTGATACCTGATTATTCCATTGCATAATCCCCTCACACATTGTTTGTGTGGTCAATAGAATATGGTGGAAGTGATGGATAATCCAAGGATAGGTTATAAAGACACTGTGGCTTTTGCCTCTTCTCTCCCTTTGTGCTGCCCTCCCCTCTCTATGCTCCTCCCCCTTGCTCATTCAGAGTAGTTAGCTGCCATGTTGTGAATAGCTCTATGGAAAGGCCCATGTGGTGAGAAATTGAGGCCTCCTGCCAACAGCTAACAAGGAACTGAGGCCTCTAGCCAACAGTGTGTGACTGAGTCTTCTTGGAAGCAGATCTTCCAGCCCTTGTCAAGTTTCCAGCTGTAAACTACTGGCCCACGGACATCTTGACTGCAACCTCATGAGATATCCTGAGCCAGAACCACCCAGCTAAGCTGCTTCTTGATTGCTGAACCTCAGAAACTGTGTGAAAAAAAATAAATGCTTGTTTTTTTAAGATGCTAATAAGTTGGGGGTAATTTGTTATGCAGTAATAATATACCCTTCCTCCTTAAACAACTTGAGAACATATAAATATGTAAACAGTGATTTTTAGACG